TGGTTATGACGACGGGTCCAGCGTCGCTAAAAGTTATAACGATGACATCTGACGTGTGTCAATTTTGAATTACGCCCTGTTGAAATCCCCAAGGAAAAACACAATAAGAAGGGCCTAGTTCTGGAATCCACCCGGAGGAGGGTTTATTGTGTACAAAACCCGGAAGAGCTGTCTAGGGTGGCTGTTGTCGCTGGGTTGATCACCAGCACGCTCTTGGTCCGCCTCGGGGCAAACCCGGCATTGGGAGCGGACTGGCGTCCGCTGTTCGGTGTGGCTGCAACTTTCCCTGTGTCAGGGGGACAGTGTCTTAGAAGAGGGCGCCTAGTGCGCGTTCACCTGTAGCCTGATTGGCGCATTGTGACAACTGCGACCAGTGGTGCGCAGAGGTTAATGTCATCTCGCGTGGGCGGTCACTCCTGTATGCGGTCAGAGGTAACCAAAAAAGACCTTTGGCTAGGCTCAACGCCTTAGGAAAGCCTCTAAACGCTGCTAGCGTTTGGTCCGGCCAATACCCTAACATGCATCACTTGTGATTGGCTGTCCCAGAAACCGAAAACAGGGAGCATTCTCAAGTGAGCATTCGCGTGGAGCTAGTCACGATGGGCTCGTGGACTGCAAAGGTCTGAACGTCAGGTTATTCTGAATCATTATCCTCCTTTCTTTTTAATAAATCTAACAGTTTGAGAAAAGACAGCCTCATGGGGCATAGTGCTAACAGATGTTATAATGACGTAAAATGATATTACTCATCAAGACTGTTAAGACGGCACAGAACAGGAGTCTACAGCCTCGCCGTCCTCGGGTCAGAATAACAAAGAGAAAACATACGAAAGCGCCATCACACAAGGGACCAGGTTATGCGCGACCTTCAAGGGCCGACACCACGCGAGGACGCAAGGAGTTACGCGTCCTCGAGAAACGGCCATCGGGTTCTGTGACACTGAGGTCACCGCACGATGCCTGCTAGCATGGGCCACTCGCGGAGGGGCCAATAGGGAACAAAGGCTGCTGGCCCTTAAATACGCCGCTGCGAACAGAAGGCGCTTTCTGTTGCCCGAGATGAGATTCTGCTACCGACACGATAGCACGCTGCCGATGACAGAAGACGAGCTGCAGACAAAACCGAGCTGCAGAAGAGATGAAGCTGCCGGACACGCAGGGCTGATCCACAAACAGAAACAGTTACAGTAAACTATCATCTCTTATGCTGTCTGCCTTCTCTTCCTAACATACAACTGGGGGATATAACCAGTGTCGACGCAGGCGCTCACACAAGGTTATAACATTCTCCTTTTACAATATTCAAAGCAAGGGATACCTATCAAGCTTGAGGGGAATTCAAGTGCACTTAGGTAAAGTTTCAGAAATAAGTGTGCTCGGCATAGGTGAAGGTTGGTAAATGTACTTAAAGTTATATTTCTACCGTTTTACTAATTTGGAGCAACAATGCAAAGCCATTTATACAGCAATTATCTGGCCCAAAGAAACCCGATCCTACATGATAACAGACAACGCAGCACGCCATCTGTCACGAATTTCGAAAAAAACAGGGCTGATTTTGTCAATGCAGAGCAAACGATCAGCCGCCAAGAAACAGCACTTGTCATGATCATGTGCACGTGCACTCTGGCTGGTTCTTTTCGCTCGATCACAAAATCTGCCTAAATTATTGGAATAATAAAAATTTAAATTAAAATTAAGAAAACCCCATAAATTGTAAGGCTATGTATAACGTCCTAGCAACTGGCCACATACTTTTGTGGGGCCTCAACCGCCATCCAACGAGGAGCTAGAGGCGCAAGAACTAGAAACCTTCGAACGATGGGACGTGGCTCTTAAACATTGTCTCAGGCGCAAACTGAGAGAATACAATAACTGGGAGTCCAATCCGATAAAATAAATGACATGTGGGCCTAACAAAAACACTGTTCTCAGGCTGACATCCGTCTCTGAAGCTGGAGGATCCTCTCTAGAGGATTTCCTAACGATCTTCTAGGATATGAACGTTACGTGCAGGGCTGTGATGATCGCAGTATCGAATACACGTAATGTGTCATGCGACAAACGTTTCGAACAAAATGCAATCAGTTAGTCAAATGAAAACACAAAAGGGATTACTGTTGAGAAGATGACACCGAAAACAATCCATAAGACTACTACATCATTGATGGTGTATAAGCGGTCGGTAACAAGCCCAATAGCCTTCTCTAGTCAGAAAGAAATGTTGCCTTAAACTGTAGCTATGATTTCATTTAAGCGTAGTTGAAATGTCTTACGGGAATATTGAGAAATGTGTACAAGCGATGCTCGATTACCTATTATTATCGATCAAGAAAAGGAAGCCGTGTAGCGATCACCGGAATCATAGTTTTTAGTCTGAGCTTTCGAAAACCTACGACAGTACATCTTCAAAAGTTAAATAGTTAACGAAGAACAAGGAAAATTTATTGGGGGTAGAGTTCAATCAACCGTCATAGGAGCATACAAGCAGAAACAGTTATTGTAAACTATCCTCTGCTATACTGTCTGCCTTACTTTCCTAACACGCAACTGGCAGATACAACTAGTATCGACGTAGGCGCTCACACAAGGTTATAACAAAGAAGGAGGCTTAAACCCCGCCACTATGCTGAACAAGACAAGGCTTAATTACTTACGCCAGGGAATCCCTAGTTATTTATCTTTTCATTTAAGAATCGTGTAAAATGTTTGAATGAAGCTGGAGCATGCAGATTTCGAGAGATTATATGAAGAACCCTTCCACCCCTCCCCCCAAAGTTCGGTCATGAAATCCCCCCTTCTGCTAGATCAAAATAAAAGCTTTCTCAACAACGCGTATCGAAAACACAATTCGCATTGAAATTTCATGAGCTAGACAGTCTCCTTAGTCAATTCTGCTGAGGAGAAAATGCCTGGGTTTTTTTTGCAAGCAGGTTTAATGATTCACACACGAGAAGACTGGAATTTTAGACGTCATACGCAACCAAAACATTCTCTCTCTCTTTCTCTGTACCTTGCTAGCTGGCATCACGAGTTGGCAGCGTTGTGTAAAGAGGTGCCGCACGTTTTAGCGCCAACGAATGAGATTAGCAGATTGAGCTCTGACTGCTATAAGCTAGCAGTTACTGCTGTAGTCTAGCACTCCTCACGAACCAGGAGCACCTTCAGTACGTTACGACAAGTCTGCTTAACACTCATATTTTATAACATTTATCCGCTTTCCCTGGTACTTTTGTCATATCAAACATATATTACTTATGTCAACGTTGAATGGTACTATCAAAATGCGTAAATATGACATATATCACAGGAATAGGTACCAGTTATTTCAAACCACCTCTTTAACTTTTGCCGGTTCAAATTAAAAACTAAACTCCTAGCAAAAGCAATACTTTAAAGGATTTAAAAAACAGATATAGTTCCGCCTTCTTTTATACTGATTTGATAAAAGGAAATGCTACTTTTTGAATTTAAGTTCAGATTGATTTTTTTAAATTAGTTTTGAAGCAGTTTTTCCTGACGCAAATATATACCATGCGAGTGCTCGTCAGCCGCTGCCTCTCTCGTGAGAGGCCACAACAATTATAACTCGTGCAGAAAAATATCGATGCAAAGCAGCAAGGTCAAAGTAAATCGCCACGTAGGCTAATCAATAATGTTAGCAACTTACAAAACACCATAGGAAGCGCAGTTGGGGAAACACTTCTAAGGCATAAAGGGGGACTAATGTGTAAATCTGGTAGCTGGATGTTACCAGGGTTAATTTAGGTTAACAACGTGTTCCAGCTGTTTACAAAGGTCGGGTTTAAACCACCGAATATAGGCTGCTTCCAGGTAGCGAAAGTGTACGAGTTGCTCGTGCCTGAACAAGTATGATTTGGCGTCCATAGAGTGACCCATATCAAGAAAATTTTTAATGATGGATGGGCGTGGAATTCTGTTGTTTTCGCTTTACAAGTCATCTAGGCAAATGCTCTATAGGTCTGGCTGCTCTTTGTCGTTGTGTTCCTCCAGTGTACCTGATGTGACTTTATTGTCTTGCATCTTGCAAAAGTTGCATGCTTTAAATTTAATGAGTGCAATTTTTAAAAAAGGTCGAAAGTACTGGATGCACATGCTATAACCCCCATGAATATAGGTCTAATTTCTTAGAGGAACTCTAGTTTTTGACGTGTTGGGGACACTGTTGGTTCAATGTTCCCCTCCCCCCTTCCTCCTCCCTTAATAACGGTTGATTGGCCCCTGCGTCCTATAACTATTGCTTATCTTTCTTTAACGCCCTTTATCTCTAACGAAGGACTCCAGAAGGAGCCCGAAAGCTCAGACAAGTAAAAGTATGATTCCGGTGATCGCAACGCCTTCTACTTCTCAATCGACTTGGGGTATATTCGGTGGGTACTTATAAATCTCACAGAAGACTTCATTAGGATTTACATGATGCCCTGAAGCAGCAGTGTGTGCTAAAATAGCTTCCTATTTTCTCCGCCATGCCGCGAGCTGCCCACCCTCTCCTCTTCACTCCTGAAGGCCCGTTTTCTTGTTGGAAAGAGAAGTGAGAGGCCAGGTGGGGGGTAAAAAGTGTGCTCTGTATAAAAATAAAGGAAACTATGTAGGAAAAGTTGACTGTCAGACGAGCGTGCGTCTGCGGCAGTGTGTCAGAGTGGCAACCTTCACAGTGTGAATCGACATTGAAGGTGATTGGCCGGACGGACTGAAGTCAGCCTATAAGTGCACATAAGATAGCAGACTCGAGGCGCAAGAGTTTGCGCGTCGAGGCAGTTTTCCGGCACCTGTGATTGGCTGTCCCTGAGGGGGGTCGAGACTTGCAATCACGTGACTCATGCTGCCGCCTTACCCACTGTATCGTATTATTCCCCCCCACGCCCCACTTTTCGTACCCCATACAGGAGATAACTCTAATACCTATCATTGCCAAGTGGGTGCATTGCTCAACTTGCGCGCTGAGGAACCGTTACTTTTGCTACCTTTTTAGCGCAAAAATGAAAGAGAAGTCAGGCCTGGTGAGCCATCAGGTAGGTCAAGTTTTGCGCCCCGCTCTCTTCTAACGCGCTGCACAGGATGAAGAGATCGCTTTCATTGCAGCAAACTTTTCGTACAAGGAGTGCACGGTGTACGTAGAGGATGATAGTAAGAAGGGGTAAGTCAGCAGCTTGACCTTCGTTTACACTTTCCGCTAGATCATGCCGCTGTGGGCTGCCCAGGGACGAACACAGCCCGGAAGTCTTGAAGAGGGAGGCGAGCAAATGGTCAATCACCCATATTGCTACGCACAAACCGACATTTATCTACGGAACGCACACAATGCCAAATGGACACCAGATAAAGGTAGGTTTGCGCAGCACTGTACGCTGCACTGCTGCTTTGCAGTGTCCGTTGCGACTGTAAGCTTTCAAAGTGGTGAGATTGACCGATGTAATTCGAGGAGCAATGAAGACAGTCTACAAATGTCCACTTAGCTTGTGATTAACTGGTAGCTTCGTTTCACTGCCATCATCTGTACAGCCACTTATCAGTGAACAATGTCCATATGGGATTCTAAGTACTCACAGATCTGACAAAACTGCCTTCAGACTGTCACGCTGGTCGAGCAAAATGTCAAGTTTTCGAGTGGTACAGAATGACTATCTGAGGATAGTGAATTCTCTAGCTTGTTGTTCTCGGCTGAGTATCAATAATGTGTTAGTAGAAAAGGTTCCACCGAAACCCGCCAAGTGACTGCATTGGTTATTCAATTGTTCCATCAAACCCTAGAAGACGAGTGTTATATGGCCCCTGAGGGCACAATAGCATTTGCTTCCCGATAGGGTCAACTGCTGTTTAAATCCTATGAGGCCAAATAAAGTTGTGCGTAAAGTTGTATTTCCAGCAAGCAGTCTCTGTTAAGATAAAGACAAATGTCTAGTCTCGGTTCCTTTAGTCCAAAGCCTGGGTACATCAGACATCAAGGAGGACAGCTTAAGTGACCTTTTATTTGGTTGGTAGATAAAACTTCAGATACTTAGTGCCTCATAGATTTCCAGCGTCTGTACAATGGCAAAAATGAGAAGTAGACCAGAACGCGAATCTCCGGTAAATTTGGCATCAGAGGCGACTGTTGTGATTCTATCTACGATCTGAGTAGCCTATTGGTCCTAATTAATTGGGAATACGTAAACATGTTGGTTTTTCTTCGATAAACTCTTTATACGTTTAACTAAAAGAACGTCAGATTTAATGTCACCGCATATGAACATTAACTAGCAAACCGGGCAGTTTTAACTCTCGTGAGAATTGTAACGTGCCTGTTCGCGAAAAGTAGCCGATTGAAAAGGAAGAGTTCTCGCGAAGGGGTCGAGATCGATGTTCACTAATATTTATGCTATCCAGTCTTAGTTGATTAGTCACGGTACCCTTACGGAGTATAAAATTGTCTCCATTAGCAAAATAATCCGAAAAAAACTAAAAAGTCAATAAGGCAAAAGAAGTTAAAGGAGTGGGCCTCATATGCCGCTAGCCCCCGCAATTCTGTCGTATGGGATCGGGGAAATAGGGGTTTTATGCGGTGGGGGAATCTGCATAGGCAGTGAAGTAAGTGTGTTTTGGTAAACCACATTTGTTTTGTGACTTGAGTCAGTGCGGCATAGACGACGTGGCGCAGAATTATGTTGGCCTAATGGGATGCTGGAATATATTTTGATAAGTGCTTTATGTATTTGACCTATTAATCCCATTGTTTCCTGACCCGTTACAAATTTACCCCCAGACTGTTAAGTCAAACACCTTTTATTTACTAAATGCTGTTTTTTGCCTTTTCGTTCGATTTACGCGTTCTTATCCGTGGCTTTATAGCGGCCGCGGTAAAACAAGTCAACCACATATTATCCCTTTACACTTTCTTCTATAAATATCCTTCACTGCTTATCCTCTTTCCCCACATATACTGTAGCAACTGAGCAGTACTTAAGTTTAAGGGGGTTACACGATGATCTACCAGGCTCTTCTAATCACACCAGATGATAATCACTCTCAACCCGGCAGTAGCGCATTTACAAAAACTTTGAAATAATACTGAATAACCTTAGGTACATTTGAAGCCTAAAAGAAATATCGGAAATATAAATTGTTTTTTTAAGAAGAGTAAATATTTTAAAGATGTACTAAAATTTCCCTAGCGTGAAAATAAAGCTATAAATTAGGCCATCAAATATAAATAAGATACTCAAGTGATTACAATTAGTTTCAGATCGTCCTTAAAATTCGGACAAAATTTCCACCACTTATATAAAAACCTTTAAAATAAGATATTTCCTGAAATAATTTGTGAGAAACCTGCATTTTGGATGCTAGTTCTTATGAGGATAGACATGTGGACCATATTTTTAAACAGTGCAAAACAGCAGAACTCATCGTCAAGCAAGAAGAACGTCTACAACAGAAGCCCCACATTGTTATAAGTAAGATCAATTAAAAAAACTTTCTACAATAGGCCACTTCTTTAAAAGGCACTTTAATTACATATTCAGCTATCAAGAATCTGTGCATGTCATCTTTTGTTAGGGAAACGTCAAAGTTATAAGAGAGAATTTTGACCAGTTTTTTAATTGAAGAGAAAATACAGGAACTAAATTTCATCTTTATATTGAAGTATCCTTCACCACACGGAATTTTGTTTAGGTCCCATTGTAAGGTTGCCGAGGCAAAAAAGACTTGCCGAATATATATTACTATTTTGTGAAAAATAGTTAATTTCTGCCTGTTCCGTTTTTAAAATATCCTTGTTTTTTTAAAAAGAACAATTCAATTCTTTACACTTGGCTTTATCCGATTTTCATTCACTTAAGACTAGATTTTTCGGTTCTGGAAGGAATATATTTTAAACTGCTTATATTGGGGTTATCCCATAGCACAACGCATGAAAAATGGAAAGGTTTAGTTCTGCCATACTTAAAAGCATAGAAAATTTATCCAATATCAAGTAATTTCCGAATGGCCAAAATTCCGCCTATTACTTTTAAATAAACTGAACTGAACGGACATTTTTCCTTACTCCAAGGTTTTTTGGGAATTAAGTCCACTAATTAGATCAAAATAACGTGACCAGATATATGCTGAACCAACAAGTCAACTATCGTTCATGACTTAGCGTGAATTACCTTACATACTGTACTTGTCGATAATGAATTATAAACAGTGTGACATCATTTTGTTATCGGAGAGAGAAACCATATCAAAAATTTCCTGCATATTTTGCAGTTTCTTCGTTTGGCTGACAGTGATGATCCAACCAAGTTGCTAGAACTGATGTGCAACTACTGGGAAATGAAGAATGACGCAGCTCTCACCCTGGTCCTCTCCCTAATCACGAGCCCTTCAGGTGGAATTCCGGAAGACGTGGAGGAGGTGAGGATACCATCTCTTTTGTTTCTGATGTAACAGTGGTAGTTTTCAGATTAGAAAAAGTTCGATTTCAGCGAAAGGAATCTGAGAACATGTTTGCACTCACTGGAGGGAATTTTTGTCTGCACTGGCGCTAAGCAGCTTTGACACTCTTTAATGAATATTCACCGATCGATAACGGCACTTATTCGTCCCGAGCTCATTCTCGAGCCCGCCAACAGTAACACAGTGGTTAGAAGTCTAGTACTATTTACGGAACAAAGGTTATAAAGGATACGGTAATGTGGGGTCAACATTGGTAACTGTGGAAAGCTACACCTGACTAGTAAATAAAACTTTCTGAAATTCTGCCCAGATCACTTGAACTAGTCGCCTTAAGAAAATTGATCCTACCAAACATACAAATACGGCATTTGTGATCATTTTTGCTGCAATTTAGATTTTCCTGGGTGTTGTTATTGGAGAAAGGGTAATTTAGGTCCTAAAAAGCCCGAAAGTAAGGAATTATGGAAGCTGAGTACGATCGGTTGTTTAGCCACGTGCATGACGACTTAATTACCTCACGTAAGTTAAATGTAATGTAATCAATTTAAATGTATTCCAGTAAACGGATTGGACTCTGAAAAACCAGTCACGGTCCGGAATTATTCTACAGGCTGTTTTTCAGCAGATTCAGATGCGCAATATCAAGCAAACCAAATTTTCACAAACTGCGCACTGAGATTGACTGTTCCTAGCAGGGGAATGCATTTTTCATGAAACGTTGGCGTCTTCTGGTGCGTCATGCGCTAACATTTTCAGCTAAATGTCGGCTCGCTACCCTTGATGAAACTGAGATCCGTGTAGCGCTCGTAAGCCCCCACGACGCACAGCCTGGTATGAAGTGACATAACAGAGCAGTTCTTCCTTGGCGTCATCCGGTTACCGACGACGATAACGGTATAACACCACAACAATGCTCAACAACTCACGCAGAGAAGAGACCTTCACCCCCTCGCTTGGCAGTCCGCTTGTAAGTGCAAAGCTAACGCTTTCGTCGATAATTTCTGCCAAAAGCCTAGCCCACAGTCTTTATAACGCCGATTCTGATAACGATGTAAACAATCTGCAGTGAATTTTCAACCACGGCGAAGAAACGACAAAGGTATTTAGTGACATGACAGAGCAGTTAATCCTTGGCATAGTCCGGTTACCGACGACGATAATGGTATAACACCACAACAATGCTCAACAGCTCACACAGAGAAGAGACCTCCACCCTTTGGTTTGGCAGCCCGCTTGTAAATGCAAAGCTAATGCTTTCATCGATAATTTCTGCCAAAAGCCTGGCCCACAGCCTTTATAACGCCGATTCTGGTGACGATGTAAACAATCTGCAGTGAATTTTCAACCACGGCGAAGAAACGACAAAGGTAGTTTAAGCAGTGCACCTGATAGACTCCTAGTCCCAGCATTTTTCCTACGGAAATGGTGCTTATAGGGGTTTTTGGGGGTGGGGAAATAGGAAAGACAGTGAAGAAAATTTGTAAAGCAAGTGGAAAGTGGAAAAATGTAGTTGAATTTGTTTCCTGTGACTGCTGGGAATAAATTGTTCCGCATGTAAACTGAAGGTATGTGCGGCGCTTTGAGCCGCGGACTATATTAATCTAACTCCAGAACAATAATTTGGACCTCAGGTAAGTTGCAGTAGACGACATCTCAACCATCATTTCAATTTTTTAAGGAATTTGAAGAAACCTGCATTTTGATGATTGGTTTTTTTCTGCACTACGTTAAACGATAATGCAGATTAGGAAAATCCACAATATTTCTTAATACAATAAAATAAAATACATATAGTATTTATTAAAATATATTCCACAGCCTATCCTAAATCCCCACCCACAAAACTTCTGTAACTACCATTTCCATAGGACAAATTCTGGGAGTAGGGGTATATGATGTGCACTACTTATAATACCCTTGCCATTTTTTTTTAAATCAGAGGTTCGCTTAACTCTGCCCCTGATTGCCAATAGAGGAGAATATCCGAGTTTCAAGAAGCAATTCAGAAGAAGAAGAAGCGATCACTGGAACAAGAGGTTTATTGTCCTGACAATAAACCTCTTGTTCCGGTGATCGCTTCCTCTTCTTCTGATCTGCCTCTGATATCCTTTATAGGGATTTTTTCACTTGTTCTTTACTCAGTTCACCATATTTAGCTGGGACTGTTGACTATTGTTTTAGACGACTGCCCGTTTTGAATCGGATGTGACTCAATATGTGTAAAATACTACTCATATCTGATGTTTATGCAGTTGCTTACACCCAGCTGTGCTCACTAATTTCATATGTTTTTTTACCATACCACTAAGTTTGTAATGAGTGGGCCCCTGGGCCCTAAATATAAAACTATTTATTAATTTATCCAGAGCAAATTCACCTCTATAGTTAGGCTTGGTGGAAATCCAATAAAAAGTAAAAATCCGTATACCGCACGTTGCTATCTATGCGACTAATCAGGTTATCACCAAATGCATCATATTTATGTGAAATAACTGGAAGATTGTCTACGAGGGGAGATACCGTTGACTAATCACCCAGCATTTGGGGCAATATGTGTGTGGGCCTCAGGGGAGATCAGGAAACATAGAAAACACACCGGAGACTTACATTACTTACACACGATGAAAAATAGTTAAACCGCTCAAAACCAAACCAGACTTCTCTGCTTAGACAAACAAAAAAGAGCTAGCACTTTTGTTGGAGGTTTCACTTACTTTCCATTTAAGCAAATGCTAAATAAAGCAGCCTTACAAATATACGGCTTATGCTCTGTGCCACATGACCGCTTACAATAAATAATACATTATACACATCGCTCAACACTTTCATATATGAACCACCTAAGTACGATAAAATAAAAACGCCTGCAGCAGTTATTAAAGTGTGTTCCACTGCCTATCCTACTTCTCCACCCATAAAATCCCTATTACTGCCGTTTGCTTAGAAAAAAACGCTGGAACTAATGGTATACGAGGTGCACTACTTAAAATACTGTTGCCGAAGAAACTCGTTTTTTGTAAAAAAAAAAAAAACAAACTTAAAACAGGCGTTTAAGGCAGGATTTATTGATATCAATAAATTTCGTGACAGCTTCTCAGCTGAATCTTGTCGCTGCATGATGATGATAACGAAGAGAACATACAACAATTTGAAATTTCATAGAACGAACGGCACAACAGCAAGGGCCGTGGTTCAGTTTAAATGATAACCGATAAAGGACACTGCGTTAACTTAACGTATAGGAAGGAAGGTCAGTGGTTTGGGGAAGTTAACGAAAACCTTGGGGATAAAAATTAAGTGACTAATTACCAGGATAATTGGGGGTTAACCACATGATCAAGCTGCTTGCATAAGTCGGGTTCTTCCCGCCATATATAGGCAGCTTCCAAATAGCGCAGGGTTCGAGTTGTTCGGCCCCGAACAAGTACTCGAATCGCTATTTTGACGTCGAAAGAATGACCACTGTCTAGTAGATGCTTATTAATAGAGGAACGTGGTACTCTGTCTTCTTGCTTGAAATGCCAGTTGGGCAAGTGCTCAACGGCCCTTACTGCCAGTTGCCTTTGCGTACGCCCAATGTACTTGCATCCACAAGTCCATGTGAATTCGTACACACAATTTGAGATGGCGTGCAGTAGCAAAGTATCCTTTGCCTGTTTTATTGGAATGCTTTTAGTGGGACTTAAAAAGACGAGTTTTGCTGCGTTGCTGCGGTCTTTTCTATAGAACAACGCAACCGTCGCTTGACTGCATTAGAAATTGTCGCTGTAACTTACCATACTTACAGCCTAGGTACATGCTAGAAGGCCTAGAAACGTGTTTCGCAGGTATTCTGCCGCTGCTTGAAACAGCTGCGAGGGGTCAGGCTCATCAGTGGGTCCCCCAGCTTTCTCTATCTATTTTCTTGTTGATATACCGGTTTTGAAAGTTCAGCTTTCAAATCTCCT